TATCTAATTGTTAAAATTACATTTGTTAGATCGTATGCTGAATATTTTGCTGGTCAAGCACATTAAATATAGATATAATTAATTCATTTGCAAGATTTCAACAGGTTCGCAGCACTTTTCAAATATCTTCATACTTCTTGAGTTTATGTGTAAAAGCTTGTCACAATTCATTTGAGGGCATGCCCTTGCAATATATCGATTTATTACGACCCTTCTATTACCCTTCAATGAATCTGCATATAAATAAACGACAGTATCGCTTGTCTAGGGAATGTACGGGAAGTATATGAATAAAATCATAAAACAGACATCGCATCCAAGTTAATGGCCTCTTATATATCTACAACTTATATTTTATTTAATTACAAAATACATTTTTCATTGTATAAATATAACTTGATCCGCCTCTCACTGCATACAAACTGCGTCAAATTTCCCGATATGACGTCACATTGACAAGTGCATTGCGATCAGTGAATTGTTTATATATTGCTGTGTGGGATTTAACCAACGACAATAATGCATGCACTAGTTAGTATTGATGTAGTTTAAAGCTATTCATAAGTTTAAAATAGCAAATCATTTCATTTTGTGGTAATTTGAAGAACTTTTATTTTTGTGTAATGTCATAGTAAGCATTTCCCGTATAAATTAGGCCCCGCCTCCTTACTGCAGCCTTAACTGTGCTGCGGACGTGCTGGTCGTTTTAGAAGTGGATGGTCCGAGTAGCAGGTCAAAACCGGTCAACTCTCAATTTAATCAGAAACGAAGTGCTTTATTAGTCCATGAAAAAGGAGGAAGCATTTTATTATATATTTTAATTTCAGAAGCACCTTTACTGTTGGATGCCGGAAAATCTGTTTATAAAGCCATAAAGTAGATAAAAAACGAGTCGTAAAATGGTATTAGTTCCTGAAGTCTTGTTCAACGAACTCAAAGAAAAATTACAGAAACCTCGGGAATTTCATTCGACCATCAACTTAGGTCATGAATTAGATGAAATTACAAGACTAGAAGATTTAACACCAGAAAAAAAGTGGCTTGATATTGTTACGATACTCTAATATTATTAATAGATATTGCGTCAGCTGTAGTTGTTATTTTTGTTATGTGTGACGTCACTCGTAACCGTTTGTGTGATTTCCGGAAGCCGAGGAACACCAGCACGCGATCGTCTGCGAGACAGGAGATTCAAGAGACTTTAGACATTGGGCACAGGAATGGTGGATGATTTCATACTTTGTAATTCGGCTTGAGCTTGGGCTAACCGTGGAAGTATTGCCGTGAACATAGCGAGCGATGTCCGCGGAGCTGGAGGACTTCCTAACAGCTGAGTAACTTCTGTCCGCGAATTGTTTATTTTGTCAATTTGTGTGTAACTGTAATTGTGTGTGCTTATTTATTATTGATTGCCTGACGCCACGTGCGTCAGGCAGTATAAGGATTGATATTGGCTAGGTCCGAAACTAATAGATCATACTCAGAGAGCTAGATTTTGTGCAAGCTGATTTACATCGGAATTTTTTACATGCATTTTAAAAGAAACAGTTTTCAGAAAAAAGAATCATATTACTGATGCAAAATATTGCAGTGTTTACTTCCTTTACTCTTTTTGCATGTAACAGATTATTCCATGTGATTCACCGTTTGAACATGTCCGTGTAACCTTTTTTCTGCATTTCTATACTACTGGATCAGTCCATTTATCTTCTACGAAAGGGGTGATTCAATCATTTCGCGCCAAATGTCACTCGTAAGCTTTCCTTGGATTGTTCTATTGAATGAATGGGTGTGCTAACTTCCATGGAAAATAAAGTTTGTCTTTTTAACCTTCTAATTCTTACGTTTCAGAAATTCTATCTACAAATTTTATCTCATTCTTTTAAACAAGATATCGTATATATATTAGTATATGTGGATATGCGACAAAAAGAAATGATTTTTCTAATTTGTTTCCCGATCCCGCGGTTGGTTTATTCCATAGATTCTAAATGGACTAGTCCAACAATAAACAACGCAGTTCAACAAGTTCCAGACGATAGAAGTCACATCAACAGTGATCAAAGGTAAGATGAAAGTCAAAAGAGGTAATATTCACCAAGGTTATCCTTACTTCTTTGGTAAGTTTGCTGGACGACAATGTACTGCTATAGCTTATGTTGCTATCATTTTCTTTTTAAATTTGAACAGCGGTTCTTGGGATTCCCAGCATATCGATAACGTAGTTCAGATAGGACATGGATTGTTCATCAATGTTTCTTCTGCATTTAACCAGTATCATAACCCTAGGAATTTGCTTCACAGTGAAGTAAATGGGCAATTTATTAGTCCAGTATTCCAACAAGGTAGCACAGATCACTTAAATTTTGAACTGAATAGGTATTACAGAGTAGTTGGCGAAAATGCAAACAGAGATGCAGGTTCAGTGGATCTGTTTTCTGCGTTACACGATTCTCTATCTGCATCCGTTGGAATTTTGTTGACACTTGGTAAACAAACTGTGTCAATATTTCATTCAGTAAACAATGCTTCAGAAATTTATCTCTTTGACTCCCATGCTCGATCATTTGATGGCCTGCCGGATAATGATGGAACTGCCATTTTAATGGAGTTTCAAAACATACTTGAATGTTATGATTATTTGATTCGAGTATACAATGGGCATAACTTTGATATATCAGTCCTCCTCATGGAGAATAATATCAACAGTAGTGCATTTCATGATAACAGGAACTTGACCTCATTAAAAACTGATGTACATGCATCTTTACAAAATGTTGTGTCATCCAATAATTCACAAAATGTTCATGTTTGCAAATCAGATTCCACATGGAATTCACAACTTTTATATTCCAAAAGCAACATCATACCAACATTCACAATCACTCATGATACCATGCAAAAATTCATGAATGTTTTTAATCCAGACAGATGTACAGATGCATGTCCAGGTGACACTGGCAATAATATAACACCATTAAAAAATAGTTCTGTTGGCCAATCAAATTTCTCTTCAGATACTTCCCATCAATTATCTCAAATTAAATATGGTCATTCAAATTGTAATGTTGGTTACAGTTCTGATAACATATCTTGTCCTTCAAAAATAAAGGAAAACAATTACTCTCAGAATACATTAAAAGGCAACATGGCTACTAAAAAGCAAAGAAAGCACGTTGATCATTCATATTGTTTAAATGATGGTAAAGACCTGAAGAAAACAAATAAACGCAACAAGGGCAATAACATTTCCAAAAAACGTGTCACACACAATGCATCAGTAACATACTCAGCTAGTTCATTAAGATCTTCAGAATATCAAAACTATATAGAATGTATTCCAAATTATTCTTGCAAAAGTTGTCAAAGATTAATGTATAGGGATCAACTACTCTTAGCAAATAAAGATAATCCCTCCTTAGGTATATTGGCTAATGATTTAGTATGCATGACTTGCAGATCATCAATAGCTAAAAGTAAAGTGCCAACATTATCAGCTTATGGTAACAATATGAGCCCAGGTGAAATACCACAAGAATTGAAAAACTTAAATCTTTTGGAAAAACGCCTCATATCACATGTAAGTAATTTCTTCACTTTGATCCTACTACCTGGATATCCTGTTGGTCAGTTTGGAGAGAAAGGATATGTTATTCATTTCCCAGTCAATACAAGTAAAATAACAAATCAAATCCAGTCCTTGTCTGAGAGCAATAGCAAATTAGCTTTAGTTTCTTGTTCATGTCAAGGTCATTTCTCTTCTCCAAGATTATTTAGTATTCCAAAGGTCTGCAGAGCTCTGCAGTGGCTGAAAGATAATAATCCTTTGTATTATGATACTTTTGTTCCACAATATAATGTTCAAAATGAAGCCACATCTGAGGAAGATCATGATGATTTCGAAGCTATTGAAATGTCTGCAGTATGTTCAGACTATTCTAATACTCCCAACATTATTGACACGAATGCACAACAACCCATAGACTTGCAAGCTTTAGAGAAATTTGAGGAAAAAAACTTTTCCGTGGTTGTTTCCATATGGTACAAATGGCTTTAATGCTCAACGAGTAAGAAAGTTAACTTTAGGTCAATATTATAAGTTCAGATTTCTCAACTGTGATTCTCGATGGAGAAAAAATATCACATATTTAATTAATTCAGTAAATATATTTGAAAAAAACTATCTTTCACAGCTTATATCAGTGTATACACGTGTTAGAAAACAAGAGTTACCGAACAGTCAACCCTTAAGAGCTAGTGATGTGATTAATGGAACAAATCCTGATTTACATGAAAATTCTTATATGTTTATGAAGCAAATCAGGGGAACAGTAGCTTATTGGAAACAAGTGTTATTTAATTTGCTTGCTATGATTAAAAATTTGGGGCCCCCTACTTTGTTTATGACTCTGTCATGCAATGACTATCACTGGGAAGAATTAGCCATGACATTGCAAGGAACATCTAATAACATAAATATAAATGCATTGCCCTTTGATGTTCAAAAAGATCCCTTATTCACAGCAAAGCATTTTGAGAGGCGTTGGAGGGGTTTGCTCAAATATGTTATAAATGGGCCTAATAAACCCCTTGGTACTGTTGTTGACTTTTTCGCACGAGTTGAATTTCAAGCAAGAGGTAGTCCTCATATGCACATATTTTTATGGATACAAAATGCCCCAAATTTAATAAGTAATTCTACTGAACAGCTTACTACATACATTGATTCTGTCATATCTACTCAAATTCCTGAGCAAAATGAAAACCCAGAATTGCACAAGCTTGTGACAATGCTGCAAATTCATAACCATAGAAAATACTGTATGAGAGGAAAATCATGCAGATTTAATTTCCCTTTCCCTGTTTGTAATAAAACAAAAATTATTGTACCTATTGACTCAGTAGCAACTTGTAAAAAATTTTATGAAACAAAACGTTTTCAGTGTGATTCAATGGTAAATTCATATAATGCTGAAATTTTGTTAAACTGGCGTGCTAATATGGATATACAATTAATAGGTGGAGCTTATGGAGTAGCTTACTATGTGTGCAGCTATATATGTAAAGCAGAACCAGAAACTTTAAAAACAGCCATTTCTAATGTTATAAGAGAAATATCAGAAATGCCATCTTCTACTACAACTAGGTCTAGGATGTTCAAGCTTGGTATGTGCATTTTAAAACACCGTGTATTATCTGCACAAGAAGCTGCTTATAGGATAAGTAGTTTACAATTGATATGGTCCTCTAGACAAACAATAACACTTTTTGCCTTTCCCCCTCATAAGCAATATAAGAAACTAAAACCATTCCAAGAAAGACAAGCATTACCTGAAAATAGTACTGATATTTTTGAAAACAATAAAGTAGATTACTATTATATAAGACCACATGTACTTTCAAATGTCTGTCTGTTCAGGTTTTATCAGTCTTACAAAGTTGTCAAGAAAACTGAAAGTACTTCAGGTCATATTAATATGTGCTGTTTAAATTCTTCTTATATTGTTAAAGAGAGACAAAAAAAAGCTGTCATTAGACCAATTACAGCTCCTAAAAATAGCCCAGATTATTTCTATAGCATTTTAATGCTTTATTTGCCTCATAGAACTCCAAATGACATTGGCGACCCCAATGAAAATATCATGGATGTATTCTCTCAAAAACTTTTCCTCACAAGTAATGGTTCCATTCCTATTTCATTGTATAAACAAGAATTCTTATTTAATGGAAGATTACTCATTAGGGAGACTTTCCCATTAACACCTTGTTGGGCTTCTACAATACATAAAGTCCAAGGACTTTCTTTGAATGAAGCCATTATTTACATAGGACCAGAAATCTTCGAAAAGGGACAGGCATATGTAGCATTAAGCCGTTTAAAAACTTTAAGTGGACTCCATTATCATTTTGTGCATCAAAAATTCAAGCTGATCCAAGAGTAATAAGTGAATATTTGAGACTGCAATACCTAGCATCACACTGCATTCCTCTATCATTAAATATGCACTGTATTATAATCATTCTTTTGTGTCTGAAATTGCTGTTTTAAAAGAACTCTTACATTAAAATGAAAAGTGCATAAATTTACCTTGAAATTATAAGCAAATATCTCAAACTTCATTAAATGAACTTCAAATTATAGCATTCTGATCATTTCATTTCCATTCTAAAATCAAGACTTTCAAATGTCTTCTGATATGTTATTATATAATTACATTGTATATATAATAGCTCTCAATTTGTAATTTTCCTGATCTCCAGCTCACAACATTGATTGCTTAATGATAAAATAAATGCCTTTATTCCATTCCCTTTTCCTTGAGACCAATATAAACTCTGGAGCACTGTGAATATAAATACATATTTTGTATGGTGAGTTTTTTAAAATCAATTTCTTTTGACTAATGTCATCATGTGAGCATTAATTATTGTGACAACAGATTATATTATATATGTTTATTAGGTATATCACATCAAACTTCATTGAAAACATCTTTTCAAATGTGTTTAAAGTCATCAGCATTTCAATGTTCATATTATATTTAAAAGACATGTTCACAAGATTCAAAAATAAATTCAGCTGTGCAATATCTCCTAATATTTTCCTTTCTTTCAGATGCCTTCATCACTGTCGGATTGTTTCACAAAAGAATGTGGAAATCTGATTACAGAGTTTGTAACTGTTAAGGTTATTGATGTTCTTCCATTAATAAATTACAAGAAACAAAGTGGAGAAACTGGTAAAATGTTCACTGCCGCAATCTGCGATGCCACCTATGCCTGCATAGCCAAAGTTTATGACTCCGAAAAAGTCACCACCATACTACCAAATCAAGTTCTCATACTGGAAAACTTTTTTATCAGAGACGGGTAAATACTTTCAAGTTTATTTTTAACCTGGTAAATTCTCAAACAACCATCAGTGTACATGTATCTTAATTACATAATTTTATATAAATTTCATTATTTATACTTAATATATTCAGATACAACTTCAATGAATTCACATAATAATTTAAAATTTTCAGTGAAATTTCAATCACAAACAGAACACATGTATACAGAACAGGTGTTCCACTGAAAGTTCCAGATGATATCATGGATAAAGCATCATCTCTGTTGACTGGTACAAAACACACAGATAAGTCTCCAACTTCCATAGTAGATGCAGCAATTAGTCCAAAGAAGACAATACTGTCTGTGAAAGGAATTGTCTACAAGGTTACCACTCACCTTTGCATCTTGCAACAATATAACTTATTACGTGTAGTTAATAATAATGTCAACATACAACATTTCTGACAAATTCTATAACTCATAGTATCCTGCAACTATTTCCATTTTGACTTAAATTTTCATTTCTTTTCAAAATTCATTAGTAATTTACAGCAATATTGATCAGAATGAATAATCATAGTCAACATTACATATCTTAATAATTTTCAACTTCAAAACAAAAACCCAAGCATGGAACTTCACTAAATTTTAAATTATTATTTTTTTTTCAGACCAATGATCTAGAGAAAAAAACCATCAGGTCAACCGGGGAAGAAGTTGCATTTAGGAGATTGAAGATTAAAGATGAAACCTCAAAAATCTGTGTCGTCTTATGGCGCAAACTGGCTGAGGAACCATTCACTACAAATGAAGTGGTCCAATTCAACAACTTCCAAGTCTCAGATACCTTTGGAACTGATGGAAAATCAGTTCCTTCATTAACAAACAAACTGTCTAGCTCTAGTATACAGGTAATAAAGTTTAAAGAAAAATGTTTGCCACAGATTGATAATTATACAGTATACACTGCTGTTTACTTAATATTATGATAAATTTATTTTCAGCGCCTGCCTTCTGACAGTATTAATACTGACATTACCGAGTCTGATGATGATGTCATTCTATCCTCACCAAAAGGACTATTGCTTGGAATAGCTGACTTAAAGATGTACAAGTATGTTTTCCCCCTTTTTTAAATGCATAATTTTTCTTTGTCAGACATAATATCTAGCAAATACTTTCTGTAGACATTTCATTAAGGAATATTTTTAACCTGAATTAATTATTTGATATTTATTTACATTCAAACTTTTATTCATGTTCTTTATAAATGTAGATGTTGCATCAATGAGAGATGTTACAAAAGGAAGTTAAGAGAAAACAGATGTTCATCATGTGGACTATCCTACACAGAGGCTAGTTCTGGCAATGGTTTTGTTGGAAAACTTTTGGTGAAGACTGACAGTGAAGTAAACACTTTTACTATTTTTACACAGCAGGTAGAACAGCTTTGCAAACTTTTGGAGTGCAACATAAAGAGTACCTCACTGGAATCTGACATTGCCAAAAAACTTCCTGTTAATATCAAATTCCAAAAAATGGAGCAAAAAATCACAAAAATTTTAGTTTAAACATCTGTTGACATTCACAGGTTTTAATACTGAACTCTGCACAACTGTCTCATAATTTCACAATTGGTAATACCTTTAATAGGAAACCTCTCCAACTGCTAAATGGAACTTTCCCTGATTTGTTCTTGTTTGTTTTCATGCCATTTCAATATTTCTAAAGTATGTACACTATAAATTACAATAGAGTAGCATGCACTAAGCTAACATTTACAAACATAATTGTACATCTTATATATATAATTTCAGAAAGTGAGCTATGTCACTTCTTCATGTACAAGTTACAACCCTGTTTGTACAATTTTTACAAATTCACATTTTCATGTTTCATTAATAATGAACCCTGAGTGGGCAATCCATGTCCAGTGGACATATTTTATATTTCATAGATTACATAATGTATATCAGAGGTGTATCTCATAACTTGTATACATTCATAACCATCATTAGTATACAAGAATCTGAGAATATCATGTATTTCTTTTAAATGTTTTTTTTTCAATTAAAATATAGATTATAAAACATGCTGGGACATGCACTAACATATTATTTAATTTACAAAATGACATTTCTTATTTAGTGATGACTTTTAAGAAAGGCAATTGTAACTAAATAATTATCTTTGTGTACATCCATTTTATTCATTCTGATGTATGGTCTTCTTTTTCACTGTACAAGACATTAATAGATTACTTCCCTTTCTCACAACTTGATATACATCCATAACTTAAACTAGTTGTATAACATATGTTATAGGTCATAACTTTTCAAAAACATTTTGCCATATCTCGTACACAGTTTATAATATTGCAGTATTAAAAGTGCTTGTCATATTTTCAACTGTCTTTTGCCATTTCTGGACCATGGTGTATTTCAAATTAATTTCTGTAATCTTTACACAACCAACAGCTTCACATTTTCATTTATTCACTTCATTTCAATTTAAATATCATTTAACATTATTCAATATCATGCCATTCAAATGTTATCCACATGCATGAGCATTTGTATCCCTGTTTCAGATGAACACAATAAATATGTTAAATAAATTTTGTTCACTTTCCATTCTTCTGATGTGTTTCTAATGAACCAGTGCAAAATAACGGGTTTGTTTTTCACAAAGGGCTAAATATTGAATTTACCCATTTCATTCTCAATATCAGATAGTGCCCCCCCCCCTTTTCTTTAGAAAACAAAAACAGCATCAGTGGAAAAAATTCACTCCAACAAAATGTGTATTTAATTTATCTCCACCATTTAAAATGTTTACAATGCATGATTTGATAACAGATTTAATAATAGGTGTACAGTGAAGATTTCAGTTTAGATCCAAGGGCAGATCACTCTACCTGCAGAAAAACACCACAGAATAAGAGCTTTTACTATGCAGTGTAGGGATGGTTCTTATACAAGTTAAATAAAATCAAAGATTTCATTTACACAAGGTTCTCAAAATATAAAGTAAGATCATATTTTGAACCCCTAAAACTATTGCTCAAAAGGTTTATCACTTCTCATGCTTAATAGTATTCATTCAATAGATATTGATTGCTTTAGTCAGGCAAGCTTTTTGAAAAGCTATTACTTGTTACATATTTGTTTTACTATTAAAATTTGTTAAAGTTTTAATTCGTTTTGACTGGTGTTGTTGTAAGTGTGACATCGGGAGCCAAAAATAGATTTGTGTATTCGGCACACGTTACAAATTGGGGGCTCGTCCGGGATAATCGAACTTTTGGCGTTTTTTGAGTAATTTTCAAAATCAATATCTCGGAAAATTTTGATCACAAAATTATCTCATTTGGGAATTTATTCCATTATTGTACACACCAGTCAAGATGGTTTTTAACTTGGAGGAGTTTTTGAAAGCACCAGATGCGCGGTTACTTGAAACTCTGAGAAAAGATGAACTGTTTGAGTTTGTGACAAAGTTTCATTTGAATGTTAAGCGTAGTGCTCGGAAAATAGAGATTAGAAATGCTGTGGTTCAGTATTTAGTCCTTAAGAATATCTTAGATGATTGTGCTTTGTCACTGGTTGTAGATCTTAAACACAGTGAAATTGAAAATAGAAATTTTGAATATAAATTGGAATTTAAGAAACTGGAAATTGAACAAGAGAGAGAAAGACGTGAATTTGAGAGAGAAAGAAGAGAATATGAAAGAGAGAAAAGCACACAAGATAGAGAACATGAGTAACAGATTAAAAAATTAGAATTTGAGACACAAAAGGTTAAACATGAATTAGAACTTGAGGCTAGGACTAGATCAAAATCTGACTTTGATGTGGCAAAGAACATAATACTTGTCCCAAAATTTCAAGATAAAGATGTTGATAAATATTTTATTCATTTTGAGAAAATAGCAGAGAATTTGAAATGGCCAAAGGAATTCTGGCCACTATTATTACAGAGTGCATTTGTTGGCAAAGCTAGGGAAGTTTATAGTGCATTGTCACTTCCTCAAAGTACAAATTATGATGTTATTAAGAAAAATGTCTTAAAAGCATATGAACTTGTACCAGAAGCCTATAGGCAGAAATTTAGAAATTACAAGAAATTCAATGAACAGACTCACGTTGAATTTGCTAGAGAGAAACAAAATATGTTTGAGAGATGGTGCACTTCTAAAAATGTTGGATCAGACTTTGAAAGGTTGAAGCAGGTAATTTTGATTGAGGAATTCAAAAACTGCATTCATTCTGAAATTAGAACCTATTTAGATGAACAGAAGGTTGAGACTCTTGAGCAAGCTGCGACTGCAGCTGATGACTATGCACTAACACATAAGGTTTCATTTGTAAAACCCAGTAGTCAACAGAGGATGAACCCCTCTGATGGTTCTCGAGGGGCACCAGACACTTCACAGGTAAATCGTCCTAAGTTAGCCTACTCTGAGATTAAAGGTAAGGACAAGAAAAATGAAAGCTTACAGCAGATCCCAGCTTGTAATTATTGTAAAAAGAAGGGTCACATTAAGTCTGAATGTTGGGCATTACAGAAGAAAAAACTGGTAAGTACTGCTGAGGTGCAGCCAAGTCCCAGTGCCCTTACATCTGTCCAAGGTAAGGTTACCTGCAGTCAGTTTGAGAACACAGAGGTCAAGCCGGAGTCTGATGTTCTTAGAGAGGAATTTAAGCCTTTTGTATTTAATGGTTTGGTGTCGGTAGATACCGACTCGCACCCTATAAGAATTTTGAGGGATACAGGTGCTTCTCAGTCTTTATTGCTAGAGGGCGTGCTGCCACTGTCTGAGAAGACACATACAGGTTCTGAAGTGGTGATTCAGGGTGTAGAGTTAGGACTGGTAAAAGTTCCTCTTCATGTTATAGACTTGAAGTCAGATTTAGTCTCTGGGCATGTGGTCGTAGGTGTTAGACCCACTTTACCTGTTAAGGGAGTTTCTCTTCTGTTAGGCAATGATTTAGCTGGGGGTAGGGTGGTACCTGACCCAATCATCTGTGAAAAGCCTAGTCTTATAGGAGAGGTAGAGGAGGAGAATAAAGAGTTATTTCCTTCATGTGCTATTACAAGGGCTATGGCTAAGAAACTAGGGCATGATGAACAGAAGTTAGATACAGGGAAGGACTTTTCTGTAGATCTTGATGGGATATTTTTGTCAGATATGTTAGAATCAGAAAGTCACATTTCCCCTGAGAATCAAAAGTCTCAGTCAAAAAGTAATGTACTTGGTTTAGAGGAAATGTTGGACAACACCCCTCTTACTAGAGTTGAATTAATATCTGAACAAGAGTCAGATGCTGAACTTCAAGGTCTAATTGAACAGGCTATGTCTCCAGAAGAGACGGAGAAGGTCCCTGTTGGTTACTATAAGATCAGGGTGTGTTAATAAGAAAATGGCGTCCCCGTGATGCTTCAGTAGATGATGAATGGCAAATTTGCCATCAGATTGTTGTTCCGAGGGCATATCGTAAAATGGTCATAGGTCTCGCCCATGACGCACCAATGTCGGGTCACTTGGGGGTCACAAAGACCTACCATAAAGTATTGGCTCACTTCTTCTGGCCAAAGATGAGAAGGGATGTAGTTGACTATTGTAGGTCTTGTCATGTCTGCCAAGTAGTAGGAAAACCTAATCAAAAAATCCCTCCTGCTGCTCTTAAGCCTATCCCTGCTTTTGATGAGCTATTTACTAAGGTCATTATAGACTGTGTGGGTCCCTTACCTAAATCCAAAGCTGGTAACCAGTACTTGTTGACAATAATGTGTGCGTCAACACGCTTCCCCGAAGCAATTCCCCTTCGTAACATTAAGTCTAGAACAGTTGTCAATGCTTTGACTAAGTTTTTCACCAATTTTGGTTTGCCCCAATCAGTACAGTCAGATCAAGGCTCCAACTTCACTTCTCAGGTCTTTAAACAGATTATGCAGGAGTTAGGGGTTAAGCACCATACATCCAGTGCATATCACTAGAGTCCCAGGGGGCTCTCGAGAGGTTTCATCAAACCTTGAAAAATATGATTCGAACTTACTGTTTATCAAATGAGAAAGATTGGGACCAAGGAATCCACTTTCTTTTATTTGCTGTTAGAGATGCAAAACAGGAATCCCTGGGTTTTAGTCCCTTTGAACTTGTTTATGGTCACACAGTAAGAGGGCCATTAAAATTGTTAAAAGAGAAATGGTTGGTTGAAGAGAGTCAGTCAAGTCTATTAGATTATGTTGCAAAGTTCAAAGAAAGACTCAGTCAGACTTGGAAACTAGCCAGAGAGAACTTAAAGGTAAGTCAAGATAAAATGAAAACCTGGTATGACAAACGTACAAAGACAAGAACATTTAAGCCAGGAGACAATGTCCTTGTCTTGCTACCCATTCCAGGTCAGCCTTTACGTGCTAAATACTTTGGCCCATTTGAAGTCGAGCAAAAGGTCAGTGACTTGAATTACATTATTAAGACCCCAGGTCGACGCAAGAGCAAACAGCTCTGCCACATCAACATGATCAAACAGTATCATAACCGAACTGACATAGATCACCCTAAGGTAGAATCAGTTGCTACTTCAAGCGCTGAAGTCACTACCCCAGATCAAGA